ATTCATGATTATGCCAATAAAGAAGATAATAGTATATAACAAAGGAAAGACAACTTGATTCATCTTGCTGTCTGTGGTGCAATTGCTGCTGTTTTCAGGAGGGCTGAAGTCTAGTCCCATCGTAGCGTTAATTGCTTTCTACCAAAACAAAACAAGCACATTAGTCATAAATGTCAGCTATTTTAATAAATGCTTCAATCGGTTCCACCACAAATGTGCGAATGACAAAAGCGCGCCTGACTAAACTGCGTCAACGAATGAGCGCTGAAGCGCGCCGACAACAGCGCGCCAACAGAAGCGCGCTGTAACCCTAACCCTAAACCAAACCCTAAACCCAACCCTAAACCTAACCCTAAACCTAACCCTAAACCTAACCCTAAACGTAAACCTAACCCTAAACCTTACCTTAATTTAAATCGCGCTTTTTTCGGTGCGCTTTTGTCAGCGCGCTTTTGACATTGCGGCTTTAGCGCCGCGGTTTTGTCGGCACACTTTTGTTGTTCGCGCATTTGTTGGGTCACGGCTTCAATCCAGTATTTTTAAGCCCTCTCTGTATACAAGTAACAGCATGGATAGCTTTTTAATATAGAACTTATGGCATAGAAAGATTTTTCAATGCAGTGATCGGAACACTGTGTCAGCAGTAGACCTGTCCTGAAACGATGCCCTTCAAACGATCTGAGGTGCAGCTGCCATAAATGCCAGCGATGCTAAACTGAAAATCCAACCCACATGGGAAGCATTCGTTTGGGAAATTCATTGCTGAAAAGATTCTGCATGTTTAGGAATTGCAAAGTACAAATTCAAAAAGACCTAATTAAATAATGTTGCAAATAAATAATTGACAGTTTAGGTTTACAGCTCTGTAATCCAGAGAATAAGCATATAAAATACACCCTGTTTCAGGAAACTGACTTTGGCCACATCGTACAGAGAGAACCTATATAAATTTTCTATAGGTGGCACCTACTTCTAGCCAGGTTAGCCAAACTGTATAAAAAATTATCACCTAAATACTGGAATGTGGTCAATTTCCGGGAACCTACTACCATGTGTATTGGTCATGAAGCAAAGCAAAAGAATATTGGCAAAAGATTTGAAGACGGTTGGAAGAAATGACTGGACAGAGATTGGAACTCAAACCAGAAATATTCCTATTAGGAATTGTCAAAGAGGATTAAGCAAATATATTTAACACTACATATTTTAACAGCTGCAAGAATAGTTTATGCCCAGAAATGGAAGAGTGGAAGCATACCCAAAGAAAGAGAAATAACAAAGAAAATGCTTGACTAGGAAGAATGTGATAGAGACTGATGCTAGAACTGAGACTGATGCTAGAACTGAAGAACAAAGGAAAGACAGAGTACTATGAGATCTGGGATAGATTTTATCAATGGTTGGATTTAACGATGGGAAGTTGGATCAAACAAGAACAAGCATGCATAGACTGAAATAAGATACAATATAGGCATTACAATATACTTCTGTAATTGTAATTGTAATCATATAGAAGAGGTTAAGTATGTATATAGTTAGTAAGTAGTAATGGATATTAAATACACAAGAGATCTGTGTTATACTCTGTATGGTGGAGAGATCACCAAGATGGTTTCACCATGTCCAATGTTTTTTTTTTCTTTTAACAATAAAAGTCTTTAAATAAAAAAATACATCCTGTTTCAAGAACCCACATAACTGAGATTCTAAATGAAAAAATTCAACCAATTTATTGTTATAATACATCACTCACAAAGTAATGTACTCACATGGAAGAACAATATAATTAACTTGAAGGAATGTCAGTATAGTAAAAAAAATAAAGACATTATGAGGGCAATATCATTGAACTCAGAGACCTTTTAATAGTAATCCTAGTGCTGCAATTTCCTCATAAAACCAAAACAAATAGAAGAAAACTCATTTAGTCAGTTTAAGTCAAAAATGTTCCAGCTGCTTTACTTTGATAGGCAAAGTTAATTAATACAAGTGTAATTGGGCATACACAAATACCTGTGAATGCTGTTTTGTCCATTTATGTCAAACACTCATATTTAAGACATGTTTATATTTAAGATGCATCTTAAATGTTTGAAAGATCAGAATTTCATATATCTTGTCCAAAATAAACTGAAGTAAAAATGTGTTTACTTTTAGAAGATATAGATTGAATTGTTCTTGGACTTCAGAACTGCAGAAATGTCCATTGTAGTGAGGATTTTACTTTAACATTACAGAATTACAGCGAAACAAAACGAAACATCAATAATCTGAATGTTTTAAAAGATTAAAATGTATATACTGAACTGTTTGCTTCTGCAAATCATAAGAAAGGTCTATTGAACAGAAATGCATCCTAAAATTACAATGAAAAATATGAAGTTACCTTAAGTGTCTGGATTTTCCTTCATTGGAAAGTTACCTTTCCTGGAAAGGTTTTTTGATCTGTTTTCCTCTCTTTTTATTTTGGATTGACTATTTGCTCCAAAATAAGGCTTATGTAGCAAACTCCATCAGCAGAGATCGGTCTTGCAAAACAGAAGTGATAGAACTGAGTGAGTCAGAGCACATATGGGGAAGTAAAGGGCTTAATTTTACTTTTTCCTTTAAACAGCTGCAATATAATCAATTAGAAACCAGAGGGAGGGTTCCAGTTTTTCTAAACTTACTGTCCTGCATCATAATAATAGAAGGTTTTCTGATTAAGAAAATAATTTAAAAAATATTTCATAGCCCAGTGTCATTATTCTTTTAAATTCAACTAGAAGAGCGCTCATGTAAGCTAGTAGAGTCTGGCCCTAATCTTTTGATGCAAATCAAATTAAACAATACTGCTGAAAAACAACCCAAAATACTCACCATAATATAATTTAAAAGCTTTTTGGAAGGAACTATGCTGGGTAGCTCAACTACATTAATGAAATGAATGGCTTTATGATTAGTAAAAGATAAGTACCTCTTTTCAGAATGGATTCAATACTGTATTCTTTGTGCATTTTTTATTATTTTATGTGAAGCCTTGTTTTAAGCTACAATCTATTGTGCAAATTTATAAACCCTGTTGATCAGAGTTATGATCTGCTAATATTTTATCATCAAAAATTTCAAATTTTCATGACATGAAGAAAATTTCTGCATGGCTAACCATTATTATTGTTGGTTGGGGTTGTTGGGAGTTGCCCATAGGAAGGCTTATGATGAAATATATGAAATATCTTATAATTTTACATTGTGAAGAACCCTTCCAATCAGATTAAGAGTAGCCTCAGCTTGGGTTCACTAAATATTTAATGCATTTATTTTCTTTGAAATCATATTTAAAGACTACTGCTTCTATATATAGAGTTCTTCACTTTTGTATTCATGATATTTTTGAAGCCAAGCCTCTTCTCTCCTCTCCTCTTATTGAATCCTGAGTCCTGGTAACTTCATGATCAGATCCATGCAGTTTTCTTGGCAAGATTTCAGAAGTGGTATTCTATTACTTTCTTGTACAATCAAAAATAACCCAGCTGGCTCCTGTGCTTAAGGGAGGACTAGAACCTGTGCCTTTCTCACTCCTGTTCTATCATCAGACTTCATGGTTATATTATACTCTTCATTGTTTTTAATATGCATGAACTGAACATAAAGGTTTACTTGAATACATACGTACGTACGTACGTACGTACGTACGTACATACATACATACATACAAAACTTGTACAAGCATCCTGAAGATTTTCAGAATGTTCTAGGGTAGGGTCCCCAACCCCCAGTCCATCACCCGGTACTGGTACACTGTCTGTAGTAGTGGTGGGTTCTGGATCCCGTTGCAACCGGTACAATTGCAACGGGGCCTGGCATCTTCCACATGAATGCATGCAGCACGTGCACACATGCAGCGCACACATGCAATCTTACCTTCCAGCAATGTATCTGCGAGCCTCCAGCTGCTCAGCAGAGCATTGCGCAGGTGCTGTATGTGCCGTGCACATGCACAGAAGTGCCAAAGAGTTTAAAAACAGGAAAGGAGCTTGGGCGGGCAGGCCCTCTGGAGCACCATACCGGAACGGTACCCAGGGCTCCGGGGAGGCACCAGTACGTCCGTACTGGAGCATACTGCCTGCAACCCACCACTGGTCTGTAGAGAACTGAGCCAGGCAAGCAGTGAATGAGCATGCAAACATTTATTTGCACATATCATGAGATTAAGGTTTCAAGTGCAAAACCATCCCCTCCCTACCCCACACCACTGCTACTACTCACCCACTGCCACCAGTCTGCAAAGCCAGAAAGGTTGGGGACAACTGTTCTAGGGAAAACGAGGAGCTTGCTTAAATTATGTCTTTCTCATACCTTTTGTTAAAGTATTCAGTGGATCAGAACTTCCATTACTGAAATAATGTCAGATCCAATATACTAGCTATTTTCAAGTGGTTACCTGTATTTTTCGGAGTATAAAATACACCTTTCCTCCCTAAAAGAGCATGGAAATGTTGGTGTGTCCTATACACTGAAGTCCCACCCCCGCATCCAATATTTATGAAAAATGGGCAAAAAAACAGGCCGTTTTTTGCAAAAACGTAGGCGTTTTGCCTTCCCCCTAGCCCTCAGCAGTACTCTGCAGGCTTCAGCAGGGCCGGAGGAAGGCGAAACCGCCAACATTTTTCTGCCCATTTTTTACAAAAATGGGGGCATTTTTGCCCTCCCTCAGCCCTGCAAAATCCTGCAGAGTACTCCTGGGGTAGGGGAGGAAAAAAAGCTTTTTTTTCTTACTTACCACTTCAAAATCTTGGTGCATCTTATACACCTGTGTGTCTTATAGTCTGAAAAATATGGTAATTATTTTTAAGAAGGGGTCTGCCTTTGCTAGTCTAGTATCATAGATGAACTTTTGTTTCCATAATTCCCAGACAGTCAGTTCTTCATAGAAAAGTCATGAAGAAATACTCTCTTATTAGAAAAGCGATGTACTTTATTTATTTGTCAATACCTGTTGTTTCTTTTCTGATTAAAAGGATGAATCATCAAGTCATGAATATAACCAGCGCATGATACTTCTTTATGGAGTTGGAAAGGAACGTGAAGAGGCCAGGCATCAACTGAAGAAGATTACCCGAGATATTCTGAAAATCCTAAATAAGAAAAGCACTTCTGAAATGAGTGGTAATTAACTGGCTGTTGATGCTTATTTTGCAGTGCATAGAATAGCACAGTTGTGGGTTGAGAAGGGACGTCTTTATAACATTTTAAAGTTTTTAATGAGAATTACACTTCTGAGAATAACTATTTTAAGACTGCTGTGACGCATATAATGTGTAAACTAATTATAATTAGCTTGCAATTATATGGTTTGGTTTTTCATAACCAATTTAGAAAATGTGAGCAAATACCATACAGGGGAAGACTTTCTTACACGAATTTATGGCGTTGTTCTGAAGCCACTTATATAGCAATAGCAATAGCAGTAGACTTATATACCGCTTCATAGGGCTTTCAGGCCTCTCTAAGCGGTTTACAGAGAGTCAGCATATTGCCCCCAACAATCTGGGTCCTCATTTTACCCACCTCGGAAGGATGGAAGGCTGAGTCAACCCTGAGCCGGTGAGATTTGAACCGCTGACCTGCTGATCTAGCAGTAGCCTGCAGTGCTGCATTTAACCACTGCGCCACCTTGGCTCTATGAACTTTGTAAGATTGTAAATTGAAAAGTATGGTGATTTAAAAAAAAAGGAAGAAGCTGAGGGTTTTCCGTACCAGATTGCAATGTAATTTTATATTATTGATTAAGAAATATATTTAAATAGAGATGCTTTTTTAAAAAATAAAATAAAATTTGTTTTTGACATAAAAAGATGACTTTTATTTACTGCAAAGCATAACAAACTTATGTTTTAGGTGGCGACGAAGGGCAAAAAGTCAGGAAGAACAGGCAGGAGGCATTTCCAACTTTAGAGACTGTATTTACAAAACTTCAGCAGCTCTCATACTTTGACCAGCATCAAGTGACAAGTCAGGTACTACTATGCTGCCATTGATAACAGAAATCGCATTGAAGTTAGAACGTAATACAATATACATGGAGTATAAAATGGAAGTTTCATCACAGGGAAAGAACTGCTAGATGAGTACAGCAGGGCTAAATTACTGAAAATTTGTGCATGTGTTTCTGAGTATACAAAAAGGATTGGACTGTGAGAAGATGCTGGAAAATGGATTTTAGATGAGTGGGTGGTAAAACAAAGAAAACATTTCAGACTAACCTACTAAATTTACTAACTTTTGAATCATATGTAATTGTTAGTTCGTCTGGAACAAGGGTATCAAACTCAAGGTCTACAGGCCGGATCTGGCCCATGGGGTGGTTAGACCAGGCCCACAGGGCCACCCTGGAAACAGCAAAGGACCAGCCTGCTGTGCCTCTGCTAGTGAAAATGGAGCTCCATTTTGGCTGGCAGAGCGCTCCGGCCACCATAGGCACTCCTGACACGAGTAACCTCAAACTGGCCATGCCCATCCTGACCACGCCCACCCATCCCTCTGAAGTCAAACACAATCCTGATGCATCCCGCAATGAAATCAAGTTTGAAAGCCCTGATCTAAAGTACTTTAAATGAAGTTTCTCCCTATGTCATTTTAAATCACAGTTGCCAGGAACTTAAGAGTCTTGATTCATACTACAGTCATCACTAGAAAATTAGCCCTAGCCTGCATGAACAGCTGGAGGTGCTTGTTTTGATGCCAAACACAAAAGAAAACAGACACAGCAGCATTGCAAGCTCATTTTTGTAATACTTTCATTGAATTTCAGTCGTACAATAGAGTGTAAATCAGACATTCTCACCACACTAAATCTTTATAGTGGTGTTGAAACAAATTAAAAGAGTTTAAAACTGTTCTAGGGCTGAGCTAGGAAGAATTTCAGTGCTGGTACATTTTTGTCTTTGTGGACAAAAGATGGAAAGTGGAATTTTGTACTGACTGCAAAATTTAACTTGAGGAAAGTATGGCAGGCTGGAGGAAGAAACTGTTTAAATTTGGAGGATGTCATTGTTAAACTTGGTCTGAGTTAAGATTCATATTTTCCATTAAATACCATGAGACAAGCACATAGGACTACAACAGTTAGTAATTATTAGAAAATTACAAGGAATGATGAATTTCTAATAGCAGACAAAAAATGCAGCAGTTTGGGGGTTAACTTTAACTTTAAAATTGGCTTTTTAATAAAGTTGTTAATTATTATTGTAACATTAGGTAATATTTGTACTTCTTTCTTTCTTTCTTTCTTTCTTTCTTTCTTTCTTTCTTTCTTTCTTTCTTTCTTTCTTTCTTTCTTAAATTGATTTTATCACACAACTTCAGGCAATGTTGAAAATATATATTAAAACCTCCTAGCCTACTATAAAATAGAATAAAATTCCACCTCCCAACCTCTTTAAAATGCAGTACATTAAAAAACAAATAGCAGCTGAATGACCATTGTTTTTTGAAAGTTGCTTTCATGTCTTTGTAAATTACAGCAACAAGAGGGCCAACCACATTCCTGGGAGGAAAGAATACCAAAATATTGGGGTTACTAAAGAGAAGGCCTAACTTTTTGTTGGTTCCCCCCTTTTCATAATAAGTTGTCAAGCAATACAACCATAATAAAATGACCTCAAGACACTGAATATATGCATAACTGAAATTGCCAAGTGATATCTCTTTCAAAGAAGCAGAATGCTCACAAATACAATATGCATATTTTCATGCTTATACGTAAGATTTTAAGTCATTCTTGATTCCTGGTGACATTCTAGAGAAGGACCTGCAGTTTGTGTTGAATTTATATTTTACCGACAAAGAAATAAAGGAAGAGGGCTCTTGGATTGGGACTGAAAGGCAAAAGTGGAAGCAGTATGCTCTGTCCCATAGTTGGGTAGACCAGGTTGCCCTGATAGGCCAGTCTCATTGGAAAAAACACTTGACCTGCAGTTTCTTTGCAACAATTTTCAGAACCGGCTTGCCATTGCCTACTTCCTAGGGCAAAGAGAGAGTGACTAGATCACTCAGCTGGTTTTCTACATAAAGCAAAACTAGAATGTACAGTGTTCACATTTTTTTTAGCTCAGGTGCTTTTAACCACTACATCAAACTGATTGTCATTTGAATTATTTAGATGGAAGTATACATTTCTATTCCTCCTAAAATAATTCTGGGGAAATAAGAGGAATGTCCTCCAGTTTCATACCTGCTCCAAAGAAGATAGGACCATAGTTTATTGTCTCATGTGGTATTACTCATTTCATCAATAAACAGAAGCCATGAAACTATACACTCTATAAATAAATTTCTTTTAATGCATTCAGCATCTACCTTTTCCCAGAGCTTCAAAGCATCAACTCATTCATGAAGCCTAATATTCAGATACAGACTTTTTGTAGATATTCAGTTTCACCTTGGTCTATAATTTTTCTCCGAATTAATATCTCTATAACTTTATACATCCATCCCACCCCTTACAGTTATGTGTATGTATGCTTTCTAATTTTTTGCTGTACTGGTTCCCACAGTGCTTCACTTTGCTAATGGGTCTGTTTGTTTTTAAACAGATCTCCAACAATGTTCTGGAGCAGATTACTAGTTTTGCATCAGGAACATCATACCATCTTCCACTAGCTCATCACATAGAATTTATCTTTGATCTAATGGAACCTGCTTTAAATATTAATGGACTTATTGACTTTGCTGTTCAGGTACCTGAAATGAAGTTTATTTATTTAAACTATTTTATTCCAACTTTAAGACCTTTTAGGAAAACTGCAAAATATTTAAAACAATACTTTCAATAACTGGAAAGAGACTTGCTAAGTTTCCCCCATTCCATTTTATTAATATGGAAATCTCTCTCTCTCTCTCTCTCTGAAGCCTGTTTTAAAGGAATGAATGCAAGATATTTCTCGATCCGTAGAATGTTCACTTCCCAATCAGCAGAATTTTATTGACCATATTGAGATCTTGTAAAATAATTAGATGTTACAAGATAGATGAAAATAATCCATACCCAATTTAACTGGTCAGCACTAGGCACCTGTGTCCATGGGGAGAGAGTGGGATCCAAAAAGGCAAGATAACAGTTGCAGCAGCATGATTAAAGTCCTTCCACTTTGCATGTTCATGTGACATCAACCACATACAAATGTAGTGGGCTTCTTTTTTTGCCTCTTCCTGTGAATGGCAGTGATATTGTGATAGTGATGTTAGCAATAAGTTTGCAAATGCCAGTGTGCATGCATTCTGATGGCATGGTAGTTTATTTCCATTCTCAGCTAAAATAAGGCAACGTTTCTAGTACCTTTCTGAAGCGAAGGTGCTTCAGGAAGAGTAAAAATGGCTTTCACTCCTGAAGTCAGGTAACTACATAGCATTTAGAGTCATAATTACAATACTACGCTCTATCCAACTCCAGTAATACAATTTTTTGTGCTAAGAAATATCTGAATCTAGAATTTGTTTCCGAAAGTTGAGGTATTTCAGATTCGCTTCACTTTTGTATACTTTAATGATTAGAAAATCTTTTTTGAAAGAGAATAAACAGAAGTTTGTTCCAGATATAGAACTTTGTGAGAAAAGTCAAAGACTTCTCAGGTGAGGGAAGATCATTGCAAATTATTGACTTGCCTGAGAGTATTTATATTTTTGTCCGTAATCTATTACATTTTTAATGTATCTCTTCGAATAAAAAGAGATTGCAACACTGGGAGAGCATTTATATATCACAGGAAGCCAGAATTAAGGCCTTCTAAGCTATAAGCAATGAGTATCAGTGTAGAAGTGTCAGATCAGTGTGATGATGCTTTCTGACTACCAAGTGTTCATGGGAACATCTAAAATACACAATAATATAGATCCATAAAAATCCATGTTATATGAATGGCTTCAGCTGTGGTTTCTTGAACATGTCATTTAGATCAATAATTAAGTTTTTGTTGTTCTTGGTTGAGATAATATTCTAAATAAACTATGGATACAACTACATGTAATAGAAGGCCAGGACACTTCATTGAGTGGATGTGATCAAATTAGTGTGCACTAGGTACCTTTTGATTAGGATTTGATTAGGAGGCCAGAATTTTTGCTATCGGAAACCACTGTATATCCACTTAAATAGTTCAGCAATTGCAAACAACTACAATGCAATTCTGTGGCATTTAGATTTAGAGAGGAATCCTAAAGCGATATTTAACCTTTTATTTTAGCTGCTGAATGAGCTGAGTGTGGTGGAAGCTGAACTACTACTGAAGTCATCCAGCCTGGCAGGAAATTACACAACTGGACTGTGTGTTTGCATTGTAGCTGTGCTAAGGCATTATCATGCTTGCCTCATTTTGAATCCAGATCAAACTGCTCAGGTTTTTGAAGGGTTTGTAGTAGTTTTTCAAACACTAGTTTTCTAATGTTAGTATGTTCAGTTTGTAATTAGGATACAGTATTATTAGAGAGTTTGATGATAAATTTAACACCTTCATGTAATCAGAAAGGCAGAAACTTAATAGAATTAGAAATGCAAATACTCATTATTTTCCCAATCTAAGATTTTAAAGTGCCTGAAGTAGCCTTATCTCTCAGCTAATGACTTCTTCCTGGCTTTTCCGGCAGGCCTTCTGATTGGGTGTTTGTTGCGTTCCTTTTCTTAACTTCGTGTGTCCTATTGTTTTTAATTTCTTTTAATTTCTTTTCATTTCTGTAAGCCGCCCGGAGTCCTTCGGGATTGGGCGGCATAGAAATCTAATAAATTCAATTCAATTCAATTCAATTCTAAAATAGGCCATGATCCGAGAAGGAAGATCTGAATTGTAGTTTAATACAATATAGATACATTTACGGGTTGGACAGGATGCATTAATTCTAGGTTTTATATATTTGAATTCTTTTTTTGTGATTCTATAAGTGTTATTTTTATAGCCTTAAAATTACACACACACACACACACACACACACACACACACACACACACACACACACACACTTTTTATAACCAGATTAGTTTTAACTACATTGATTGAAGAGACCGTGTGTTTTGTGTTTTGTACATATCAGCTATTATGGCTTAGAGAGTATCAAAATATTTGTAGTATAGACAGATCCATAACATAGCTAGGGTGGATATACAGAACCTTGTTTTAGACTGAGGTTGTATCTAGCTTTAGAGTTGAGTTCCAGCAAGCCAAGATAAATCTAAAGTTGAATTAAACAATAATTGTTAAGTAATTATATACACTTAATTTCATTACTTCCCATGCACTTGATTATTTCCCCAAATCATCACATTTACAGTTATAATTTGCTGGCAATGTTTTAGAAGGCTTTACATTAGAGGGTCATAGATAGCTCCAAGCACATAAGATGCAAATTCTTCATCTGGTTTGTATGCAATTGTATTTCTAGAATTAAATATAAATATTATTCGCTGTCTTGGAAATTCAGAATAGGTTTTAAGACCATATTCAATCCTTTAGTTTTAAATCATGTGAAAGGACAGTACTGTGACTGACTTCTAATTTTTAATAATGAATTTATCTTTCTATAGATTATGTGGTGTTGTGAAACACATAGTCAATCCATCAGAATGCTCTTCCCCTGAAAGGTGTATTTTAGCCTACCTGTATGATCTGTATGGATCCTGTAGCTATCTTAGAAGCAAATTTGGAGATCTTTTCAGGTTAGTAGTAACAACGTACACTTTACTTTATATTTCAACTAACTTTCATGCAACAATCCTTCATCAGTCTGTTATCTTTCAGATGTATGGGATCTATAGCTCCTGGAATTGGAATTAATAACATCAATCCCAACACATCTGACTGTTATGAAGTATAAAGAAGTTTATTTAGATGCTTTTTTACAACGTATTAAAAAGATCATGTACATGCTTTCATTTTGACTTAGATAGGCACTTCCACACGAAATGTTTTATATGTTTTCAGTTACAATTTCCTATTACTGACATTTTATATATTTTATCCAATCTTTGCTAACACATTTTTACTTTCATTTTCCTAATACCTATTTTTTCTATGCATATACACTATTACCTGTTTTAATGTTTGTTATAACAAATGAATTCTTTCTAAAATATAACAGAAACATTTCTGTTTGGCATTTGATACACATATTTTCTGGTTCTGCTATGGAAATTTTTATTCCATCCTTATTTAACAATTGACCTTACAGTTAGAAGAAAGCAGTAAATAATTTTTGTAAATAAATGGTTAGAAGGAAATAGAATTTGGGATTTTTCTGTTTAATATTTTAGACATATTTTCTTGGACTTGAAAGTTTCCCCCAAAAGTTCCCTTCAGATTTCTTAGGTTTTCAGTTCTACAGATTTCCAGGCAAATTTCTCATTATGAATTGTGAAACCTGCATACAACTTGGAGAACATAGTACAAGACATGCACATTATTAAAAAAAAGGATTGCATAGTATTATAATTGATTTCAGTTAATATTTTACTTCAACTTTTTTCTGTTTTCTAATAGATTCACAAATAGGACTGATTTCTCTGATATATTTGTCCATAAATAAATGTATAGCTATCCTAATATTAATATGTTGCCATCCCACATAAAATAATTCACTTCTGAAAAAAGGAATATGAAATAAAGTATTGCTTCTTGAGGTTTTGGCTTTGCATCTGTTGACCAAAATAGGGGAAGTCAACCTTACTTTTTAAAAATGGCTAAAGTCACCTCAACCTTACTGAATTCAATTTACATAATTTTATTTCTATTAACTGACAACTTAAAAAGTCTGGTTTAAATTACCTGTGATAGTACAATTTTCACACACATACACACACAAACAAAATATATCAGTGTATCGGAAGTGAACAGGTATATTGCTTTTGCTGTATTATACAGCTTAGCTTTTCCAATAAGATTATGATATACAACTCAAAGTAAACATTTTACATTTTTTAAAATGTAGAATCAGATGATCTAATTTAAAAAAATTCAAATGAAGTTCTTACCTCTGTTTTCTTTGAAGAATGTTTTTATACAAATCAGAAGTTAACATACTGTGACTTCCTATGTATTATTCATTTTGATCGAAGTTCCTTTTAAAAAAAACCTCATTTTCGAAATGAGTTATATTATCTACACTTTCTAAAGCTTCTGGTCATATGTTGAAAAGCCAAGCATGATCTCATAGTGCCTCTTTGCTGTGTTAATACTACTTCTGCAAATCTCTTAAACCTTCCACTGTGGACAGGTTGCTTAAAGGAAACTTAAAAGTATTTCTTAAAAGTTTGCATGTATTGGGAAACCAAGTGTTGAATTTTTCCTATTGCTTTAAAAATGCACTAAAATATGTATAAGGTATTTATTATGGGTCTTTTAATCATTATCCACTTGTTATAGTTCTAATTAGTCTGAAGGGACAAAATATGTTTTATTACAAAATTAATTCTTAGCACAGTTTCAAAGTCAAAGTCAACACTATAGTACCAAATTATTTTGTGCTTAACTGTCTTAACTGTCTCTGTCCTAAGTTTTTATATAACTTGGCAAATATTTATTTTTTTCATCTGTCCACTGTTATTATCATGCCTTCACTGGTACCCCCTATATTCTACTATCTAATATAACCAGTCCTGAAATTTAATGAATGTATAATAATGGTTTTCAGATTTTCCTGTTCCTTTCTCTAAAGCTTTGTTGGGCTTTTAAATTACACAAATTGAAACAAATGCTATAAATGTTAGTGTCTTCACAAAAATGATGAAAACAAGTCAGAACTGTTGTATGTTGAAAAGACTAAAAGTATTGATTCTATATCTGGATCAGAGTTAATGTATCTATCCAATTCTATATCTGGAACAGCAGTGTGACTTCTTTTATATATATGTGAAGAATGTGTTTGTACCTGACAATTAAAAGAATGCCATTATCATGCATTGGAATGTTGCTGTTTGCCTTATTGAGAGATGTATGAATGTGAAAAAGACTTGTGATTGTTGATTCAGACAAAGTGTATTATTATGTAAAGATGTTTGAATTGTGTTTAGTTATTAAGGTTGATAGCTGAATATTTCTGAGAATAACTGGAATGTTTAGAAAGTGGCTCAGTATAGAACAGGAAGTAAGATAAGGGTTTAGGGTATCTTTTTCATTTAATATATTGATGAATAAAGGTAGTCAAAATGTTGGTGGATATTCTAGAGGTGTTTGGAAACATCCCTGTTTGTTTAATCAGTATGCAATTGATCTCATGCTGTTATTTGATAACACAAATGATTTGTAGTGAATATTATGCTACAACAAGGTATATGAATCTAATAATTAATACATGAAGGTAGTTTTGTTTGACCTAGAAAATTAAAGAAACATTATACATAAATGAAATTTTCTATTGTGAGTCCAGAAAGATACCATTGTTGATGGTACTGAAAGCCGCTAAAATATCCAGGTCAGTTACACCATTTCCATCTCAAGCTCTCCAAAAGCTATCCACAACCACAACCAATGTTCTTTCCTTTTGATATCTTAGCATGAACCCAGGTTAAAAAGAGTTCAGATTATTCATCCAGTTCTCTCTATAGCTGAAACTAACTTTTCTCTCAACAATGTTCCATAAAAGAGAAGATGAAAGACTAGATCATATGTTTTCCAATACAGTTGGGCCCAAGGATAGCCTCTTAAGAAGGGGGTGTGCCACCTTAGGATATGAAGGTGAAGAGAAGGATTGAGATAATCAAAAAGAGAGGGAATGAAAACTTAAAAGAATAAAAGACAATATATGAAGCAGTTTATGGATGATTCACAAAGATAGATAACCATAAGAAGGTGTTAAAAGGAACTAGATTTAGCTAGATTTGTCTTATCTTATTCCTTTAACTTTTTTGGTCTTACTGCTTTTCTTACGGCTCTTCTGTGCTGTATTTAATGTTAATGATCTTAAAAAGGAATAGTGTGTGTGTGGTATTCTATATTTGTGTATACAGGGCGGGGCATAACCTTTTCCTAGGGGGTCACAGCAACACTTGTAATAACAACACAAATAATTCATACACCATTCGAAAGCCCATCA